CGTTACATACTCATCCAATTCATCGATTTTTATTGATTTATGAAATTGTCTGTTTAATTTAAAATACTTTTATTTACTTTTTTCTTATTTTCTGTTTAATTATTGTTTCGAATTTGCATATTCTAATTAATTTCTAATATTTCGATAGTTATCAAAAGTGTATTGATTATTGTTTATGGAAGATTTTAATAATTTGAAAGTTAAATTGTATTTTTTTAAAGCATATTAAAATATTAATTGACAAAGTACTAAATTATTTCATTACTAAAATTAAATTACTAAAACTTTCCTAACACGATGAAAAATTGTGATTATCAAGACTGTTTAAACAAACAAAAAGAAAGAATGAAAATTATCACTAAATAGTTGTGATAGTGATACATTTTATAAATTTTTAAATTAATTAGTATATTTGATAAAGCTATATGCTAAATTAATCAAGCTATATGTTAATTTGCATTTTTTGAAGGCAATTTATATTGCTATGAAAGCATCAATTAATGCTGATTCATTTTCCTGATTCCATCTCCTATTTGATTTGAATATTCCCTGGAAGCTGATTCTCTTAAAAGCGATAATCTCGCATATCCTTTTATTCATTTACTATTATTACCAAAACCCTTTCTCACATATTTCTTCTAATTTTACACCTGAATTTGATGTTTCTTTTCATTTTAATATTTTAAACAAATGTACATGAAAAGATAACGTATTCAACATCAAATTCGAACAAATTATTTTGCCCATATAATTTAATACTAAGTAAATAAGGCCGAATTAGTAGCATAAATGCTTCATAAAGCACTGAAAAGTTTTTTCAATATTCAGTGTTGCAGTAATAATTGTCTAACTGACGGATACAGAGCCCATTGAGCCCAGCAAAGAGTTCTTCCAACAAGGCCCATGATATTGGCAATTTAACCATTCATTCATATATAACTTAAACAATCAGTAATATCATGTCGAGGAAAAACAAAATCCAAAATTAGGCCTTAGATCGAATTATACTTCGTCCGTCGTATTTCCGTCAGGAAAGCAAACTAATTCAAAAAAATGAAAGGAATCGAAGAGTAAATTAGTAAATAATAGTACTAATAAATGTTGTACTAGCAATGAAACATTGTTGGTTAACCCATGAAAAGGATGCAGCTTTTCAAGACCATTAACATTAGCACTATCGATAAACCGCTTAATCGTTTCATACTTCTAATAAATATATCAAAAACCTTAACCATCTCTACTATTTTCTATTCGTTTTTCTTTCTGAAATACAAATTTCTTTGATTACTGATTACCAATTATCGTATTGGATAAAATAGAATTCTTTGCATCCAATCTAATCATTGTTTGTTTTTATTCACAACATCAATCCATTTTGCGGAAAATAACTTGCAACATTTTTAAATTTGCATGTATCATGTTTACAAACAAAACAATTTTTCAAACTTCTTTTCACCACAAATTTTAAATTTTCTTTTGGAAAGTTTTTATTTTGAAATTAAAAATTCTTTTTTGGGTTTCTTTGCTTGCCTTTTACTAATTCATTTTAAGTTAATTAATAATTAGTAACAAACTTACAATAATTTTAAATTAAGCTTAATTTTATTTGAAATAATTTCCTCATTTTTTTCTCCGCTTTCCTTTTTTCTTTTTTTATTACCTTTACCAAGACAAGATATGCATTTGACAAAATAATACAATAAAAGTGGCAATACCTATGATGCAAAGTGGGTTATTTAGATTTGTTTTGATCGGACCAGATAACGTTATCAAGAAATGGATTGTTGATTTCAAGGTATGCTTCTCAGCATTATACTCTTTCATTTCTTATTCATCTTACATGAACTGAAATGGAAATTTTAAAATTTCCTGAAAATCAAAGCAATGATGAAATTCTCTATTTGAGACCTTTTTATCTTTGAATGCATTCTTTTTAATTGTTAGGTGACACCACCGGTTATTGCCGAAACGGGTGAAGGTAATGTAGATGTCGAAATGACAATGAAAGATTCTGATTTTATGAAAATTTTTACTGGAAAATTGCAACCGGATCAGGTAAATATGCTCATTTGATATCCAGAATTAAAAACAATTAGAAACTTAGAATTTAGTCGGTAATTACTTGCATTAAAACAATTTCTAATATTATGTGGTAAAAA